AAAAAAAATTTCCCTAATACCCTGATTTCCCAGTATCTGAATCTACATCACTTCTCCCCTTTCCATCTCCCAGCCAATGGAGCAGAGTGCTGCTCACATCCAGGTGCCCACCAGCCTGGATCCCAGGAGCATTCACCCCCCACCACAGACCTGGATGTTCTGGTGAAAGTGTGTTCTGACGTGCCCAGACCCCCTGATATCCCATGACAGACCCACCACCTCCCTGACCCTGGGGCTGGGGCAGCCACAGATCCCCAAGGGGTGAGTGCTTGGCTGGTCAAACTAGGCAGGAAGAAAAGGGAGACTCTTCCCAACTCTACCCAATTCCACTTTGCTCTCAGCAGGGTCAGGAACTCAGGAAATCACCTTCAAAGGGCTCAGCTCACAAACCCAAGGTCCTCACCTCCTCCAAGCCCTCTCAGATGTACTGTGAGGAACAGATGGGCAGCGAAGAGGAGGAGGAGGAAGAGTGCTGAAACAGCACTTCCCTGCAATCTCCTGCCAGGAGCAAACAAACCCAAGCTGCTCCACAGCTGGGCTGTGCCATGCCCAAACACCCCTGGGCTGGGGCAGGAGCTGCTGCAGGGATGGCAGAGATGGGCACAGTGCTTAAGGGAAACCCATCTGGATCACTGCTCCAGGGTAGACAGGACACCCAGGATCCATGCAACAAGCACATCTCAGAGTGGCTCCACCAGCCTCAGGGCAGGCAGAGCCCCATCCCACTCCTGGGGGTCCCTGGGACACCCACCTGGCTTGCCAGGCTCCTCCGCTGCTGGGATCTTGCTGCGTGGGCTCTGCGTGATGACCTTCACGGTGTCATCAGACTCCTTGCTTGGCCGACTCGTCGTCAGCTGCTCTGGGATCACAGCATTTGGATCTGGGAAAGGGGAGGGATGAGAAACCTTGAGCCAACCTGGGTGGCAGCAGCTTCTTTCCCCTCTTAAAGAACAACTGCCCCCAAATCCCAGCCGCCCCCGATGGTGGGGATCATCAGAAGGTGCTGAGAGCAACAGAGCAAAGCTGAGCTGCTGCAGGGCCTGTGGGTCCCCACCCTGATTCCCTGTTTTCCCGAGCTCCCATGCGTGGGCTGGGGCAGGTTTCGTGCTCGGGCAGCAGGAGGGAGGGAAGGGCAGGCAGACAGCCAAGGCTGCAGCACAGCTTTGCCTGTTTATTATCAATACTGGCCCCAAAGTGCAAACACAATAATGAGAAGCAGAATCAGGAGCTGCACATCCGAGTGGGGCCGGAGCGAGCCTGGAGCATCGCCGGGGCCGGAGGCAGCTCGGGCCGGAGGTGGTGGAAGTGGGAGCTCTGACACCTGCACAGCCCTGGAAGCCTGTGCCAGCCCCCCCGAGGCTCTCCTACTGCTCACAGATCCCATGCCAAGCTCACTTCCCACCAGGACACGGAGCACGAGGTACCTGGGAACAATCGCTCCCTTTAGTCCAACATGCACAATGTGGCAAGAGCAAAAAGGGCAGAAAACAGCTCCTAAAAATGAAGTTCTGCTCAACTAATGCAGGAGCAGCTGCTCTGGCCTCAGTTTCTCTGGAATCCAGGCCCTCCCCCCACAGCAGGACCCGGGTCAGCGGGCAGCAGGAGGGCTCACCCTGCCCCACTTTCATGACAATCTTCATGGAGCGTGTCTGGCACACTCCTCCTTCCCGGTTTTCCAGGCCATCCAGTGTCCCATTGGAAGTGGCTGCAAGAAAAGAGAGGGAATGTTAGACATGTTCCTAGGAGCTGGAAGGGCACTTCTGGGCAGGTCCCAGCTCTCCTCTGGCATCACCATTCAGGTCCCTACTGTCCCCAGGAAGCACTGGGCAGGTCCCTGCTGTCCCCTGGCGTCACCACACAGGTCCCCACTGTCACCAGGCACAGTTAGATAGGTCCCAGCTCTCCCCTGGCACCACCAGGCAGGTTCTCACTGTCTCCTGGCACCACCAGGCAGGTTCCCACAGTCCTCAGGCACCACCAGGCAGGTCCCAGCCTCTCCTGACCTCACTGTGCAGATCCCAGCACTCCTCCAGCACCACTGGGCTGGTGCCTGCTGTCCCCTGATACCATGGGGCAGGTCCCACTGCCCCTGCCCCCTCCTGCCACAGGGGTTCACTCCTGCCCCCCACCTCAGCCACATCTTCCCTCCCCAGCCCCGGAGCCCACGGAGTTCCCACCTCCTGCCCCTTCCAAAGCTGCCCACAGCAGTGAGGACATGCTCCCTGCTGCCACATCCACACAAGTGAGCCATTCTCTGTGCCTGCACCCTCCTCCCCCTTTAATTCCTGGATAATTTCCTTTGCTCCTCGGCAGAGAATGGGAACACATGCATATGCACAGTTTAAATTATACATCTCTAATTACACCCTGGGCCTCGGTGAGGAATGTAAACTCAGAGCCCCCGTGGGGTTCAGGGGCTCTAATTGCAGGGCAGAAGTCACTTAAATTCACATTAACTTTTTGCTGGAGCCGGCACAGGATTTTTGAAGCCTTTGGATCC